TGTATGTTTTTTTTTTTTTTTTTTTTTTTTGAGCTTATTATGTATTTATAGCCCTACAGGAGGAACAATTTTGATTGTAAGGTGGCAAAGCTAGAATTTCAGCCCCCTTTTCTTAGATAACATATTTGAAAATTATTGAGGCAAATGGATGCATTTAAAATTCTGATATAGAGTTGGTCTATTCCAACTAAAAAAGTGAAGCAATAAATTTAGAGTGTTGTACAAGATTTAGCAGTTATTGCCTCAGAAAAAAAAAAAAAAAAGGCTATAAGTTATTGCCCCTACAAAAACATAAGAGTCTCTTTTCCATTCATTATTCCATCAATCAATATTTTTCCTAATAAATAGAAAAAAATTCTCAAACTTTTAGCCATCGGATTAGAAATTTGAATTCATTTGGAAAGGTGATAGAAAATCGAAGGTCATTAATCCTTCGCCAACTTGCATAATTGGCCACCATTATAAACCCCTTTTATTATGATTACTCAACCTTAATTTAATATACTTATTAGTGTTGATGTTTAAATTTAATTTTACTTAAATTATTTTCAAAACTTAAATATTATCCTTTTTCATCTATATTTAAAGAGTTTAATGGTATTAAAAAACTAAAAGATGGGGCTTTTCTATTTTTATTGAAGTACATTTTTTTAGATGAAGATATTTAGTTGATTACAAAAAAAAATTATACTCAAACATGATGACTGAAAGAAGAGGGAAAAGAAAAGACTTTCATTCCAAATATAATGTATGGTCATAATTACAAACTAATAAATTATATTAGTGATGGTGGAACTATGATGTCCTTCAATTTAGCCTATAAATATCATATTTGTGTTTAGCTTACCTAAACACTCTTTCGATTAGATTTTTTATTTTCAATTTTTAGACTTTGTTATTTATTTTTTCAATAAAAAATTATAAAAATTAAGTAAAAATCAACTTCCAATAAAATCCCATACGCTAATTATCGTTGAACTTGACATTTAAAAAAAAAAAGTAAAAACATATTATTAAAAATAATTAAAAAATATATATATATATAATAAAGTAAAATAAGGAGAATAAGGTAAGTGGAGGCGTTGATAAAGTAGGAGTCCTGCACGTTATCTTTCCCTCACAGCGGAATTAAAATTCTCCTATTTTTTCTTTTATTTATTATTTTTTAAAACAATAAAATAACAATGAGAATAATGCTTAATAATTGATAATTCATATCCCCGTCCTTTTTGGCGGTGATACGGAAACAACTTTTTCATGTTACTCCTATTTTAATATTAATATTAATACAAATTATAATTACATTTAATATTTTAAACATCAACTAGGGTTAGGGTTTTAAAACTCAAAGTAACTCAAACATATGAATATTGTTATTTAATGTTTATTTTGGGTAAAAAAAAAAAAAGAAAGGAGGGAAATTTATTATTAATAATATAATTATTTGAAAAGGAAATATTTATTTATTTAGTTATAAACAGAAAAGAGTTCTGATTGGATTAGGCCTCAAATCCGACCAAAGCTTACCCGCTTCAGAGTTTTTGATTTTCAGACACACCTGGCCACCACATTTTTCCCGACCTGTCCCTGTCTCGTTTCCCGTAATTCCACCAAAACTCAGGGCTATTTCGGTCATTTCACTCAATTACCCGTTTTATTTTTCTCTCTTTAATTAACTCCTTAATTATCCTTTCCTTTAATTTATTTTTCGTTTTGGTTAAATAAAAAAAAAGGAAAAAAGAAAAGAGAAGAAAAAAAAAGACAAGATCCCTGGAGGTGTGGGAAGGAAGCAAATTAACATACTTGGAATTTAGAATTTAGAAAAACTTACATAAATTCGAAAGCTTCTATTTTCGTGTTTCTATATTTTCCTTTTTTTTTTCAGCTTCTTCTTCTTTGTTCTTCCTTCTTCTTCAGCAGTGGAAGACTTAAATCTCTCCTTCAAGAACATTTATGGTTCTTTAAAGGGGTTTAGGTTTAATAGCATCTTCTTCTGATTCATTATTTTTCTTCTTTTTCCTTTTATTTTTTGAGGGGTTTGTTTGGATTTTTGTCTGTCCCTCCCCCATTGATACTCAGCTCAACCTCGCCAAGAACTTGCTCAATTTCTCCCTTTCCTCATTTGGGTTGCTCTTTCTTCACCGCATTTGAAGTGGATCCATTACCACACCCCAAGATTTTTATCAGATCAGAGTCTTTACTAGAATGGTACTTCTTTGACCTCTTCTTTCCGCATTTCGATTCATTTTCTTCATGGGTTCTCTTAATTTCATGGGGGTTTCCTTTCTTCTCATTATTTGGTCTTGTAATCTGTCGGTTTTCTTGTCTTTACTACTTCGACGACTGATCTGTGCTTGAGTTGAAGAATCATCCTAACATTTCAGGACTTTCTTGGGTTCAGATTTAGTCTCTCCTAGTTCTCTGTTTTAATGATATTACGAGCCCTTGCACCTCGAAAGGCTTTTGGGTTTTCTTTAGAATAAGAAGTTTGTTTTGTTTGTTTCTATCTTAGTCTATTTGAAGTGTTTGCATATGTTGACGAAGAGTCAACTAGAGTTCAACGTATTTGACTTCATGAACATCGACTAGTCATTCAACTAAGAGTTCAATGCGACACATTACTTTAGCTCTATGTTTGATTACTAGCATGGTATACATTTTTTTTGTACTGTAACATTTCGATTTATTGTAGTGCTGAACTACTTATATGAGTGGGAGACAAGCAAAAGAGGCTACATTCATTAAGTTGATCTTGTCGTAATGGTGTAATGTACACTTTTATTTGTGTGCATACTTGTTTACTCTGTCATACTTGCAGGCTTCTACTACCGGTCTTGTAGTTGGATCTTTTGTTTGGTTGGAGGATTCTGAAGAAGCTTGGATAGAGGGCGAAGTTCTAGAAATTCGTGGCGATGAAATTAAAGTCGTATGCACCTCGGGGAAGACGGTGTGTTTTGCTCTTTCTTTTCTTGATATGTATTCATAGCTTTCACCCACCACACTCTCTTAATGCTTTCTGTTATTGTAGTTTAAATCCTAGTTTGGTCCATGAATATTTGCAATTTGGTCCCTAAAGTTTCCATTTGTTTTTATTGACTTGTGGATAGATTATAGTAACTGAGGTGCTCAATTTAAGAATAAAATTTTGCTAATCTTTTCCTTCTCTGTTTTCTTCCTCGTTTTCCTATTCGCAGGTTGTGGTTAAAGCAGCTAATGTCTATCCCAAAGATTCCGAAGTGCCACCATGTGGGGTGGATGACATGACCAAGTTGGCTTACTTACACGAACCAGGGGTGCTACACAATTTAAAATTGAGATATGATATCAACGAAATATATGTGAGTATATGAAGAAAATTATTTACTCTTGGATATTGGTTTCCCTTGTTCGTGAAGGTTGTGTCGTTATTGATGTACTTATTTGGTCACATTCCATTATGTTAGGGAAATATTTTATCTGGTTTAAATGTGAAGATTTTTCGGATATTATGATGTTAATATGCTGAAAAATTGTGCTTCCAGACTTATACGGGGAACATATTGATTGCGGTGAACCCTTTTACAAAGTTACCTCATCTCTATGATAGCTATATGATGGCACAATATAAAGGGGCTGCATTCGGTGAGCTGAGTCCACATCCATTTGCAGTTGCAGATGCTGCCTACAGGCATTTTTCCACAATATTGTTGTATATTTGTATTTGAGAACTTCACTTATTTAATGATAATCTGAAATTCCTCCCCTTTGGATGCAGACTTATGGTCAATGAGAAAAAAAGTCAATCCATATTGGTCAGTGGTGAAAGTGGGGCTGGAAAGACGGAAAGTACGAAGTTGCTTATGCGTTATCTTGCGTATATGGGAGGGAGAGCTGCTACTGAAGGGAGGTCTGTTGAGCAGCAAGTTCTGGAGGTGAGAAAGTTTGAATATCGGCCTTCACAATTATCTGATGCAAATGTTGTGTCTCTGATATTCGAGTTTTCAAAATGTGATTCCGTCCCAAATATTTGTTTTTCTCCTCTTTTGTAGTCAAATCCTGTTCTAGAAGCATTTGGGAATGCAAAGACGGTTCGGAACAACAACTCAAGGTAGGAAGCTCTCTCTTTGGAATATTTATTTCCAAAATTTATGCCTGACTTCCATCTGTGTATGGTATATGATGACTCTTGTAGTCGATTCGGTAAGTTTGTGGAGATCCAATTTGACCAAAGGGGAAGAATATCAGGAGCTGCTATCAGAACTTACTTGCTGGAAAGATCACGTGTTTGTCAGGTGTCAGATCCGGAGAGAAATTATCATTGCTTCTACATGCTTTGTGCTGCGCCACCTGAGGTAATGGGTGCCCCTGATTACTTGAGCTTACAGCCACTTGAACCTACAAATACTTAGACGAAAAAATTACAACCACTTGAGCATACTTGTAAGTCCTTAATCGTCAATGAAAAGTTCACTTTCAAGTTAAAAGAAGTAGATTGGTGGCAACTAGTTTTAATTTTAACCCACAATCGGCATTTCGATTTACAACTTGGCCCTTTGACTGTTAAGATCTTAGTGTCTAGAAGCATAATTTATATATCTTTGGACTAAGTTGGAGTTGTTCTTCGTTGTCTTTTCCCTTTTCAATCGTAAAGGAGGTCAAGAAGTATAAATTGGGAAACCCAAGAGATTTCCATTATCTAAATCAATCAAATTGCTATGAGTTGGATGGAATTGATGATGCCAAGGAATATATTGCTACGAGAAAAGCAATGGAAGTCGTTGGAATAAGTTTGGATGAGCAGGTATTTCCTCACCCATAACTTCGATATGACAAAGACAAAGATTCTCAAGTATATCCTATGTATCATCTCCCCCCCCCCCCCCCCCCCC